AGAGTCTCTCTTGCTTCAGATTATGTCTGTTGACTTGTACTCCTGCTATGCATCCATTTGAAGAGCTTGGATCCATCTTCTTGATGACCTCTTCATAGGTATGACTGATGTTGAGATGATAGGAACTGTTTGACTTAATCAACAAGGTTAAAATTATAACTTTAGGTGATTCAACATAGTGCTTGAGGGAACAGAAAAAGGAAATAGTTGAAGTACCTGATTTTGAACAATTTTGCTACTGTGTGTATCTTTCAAGTGGAAGGACAAAGTCGCACATTGAAAGAAACCGATGGAAATACGAGCTAGGAGAACACTGATCTTTCTTCACTACTTAAACTGAAAACAAACAAGCAAGAGAAAAGTCAACACTACTATAGATACTTAGAGGTTTTTCAGAAACGGCTTGAAACCATGGCAAATTCACACTAGGTGAGCATTAAAGAACTGACAATTAAGCTTTTCTGGTGTCATTTTTTGTTTGTTGTTTCAATGTTCTTGTTGCAGTGTGATGTTTTACCAACTGCACTTTTCTCCCTGGTGTGCTGACCACCCCACTGGCCATGCTTTATGTTCCTCTGAATAGTTAATGAGAAATTCAACTCTCGGTGCTTTAGCACTGATTTGCTTAAGCTCTACCAAGTTAATAGTGTACAATTACTTGTACACTCAGATAAATGGGTGCATATATGTTGTGGCGGGATCAGCGACTCGACCAATATGATCCATAACAGTCAACTTTATTAGCAGAGAATCTGGATTATATAGACAGCACTCGGTACAGCACTCGGTTATGATTGGTCACTATTCATAGAACATCTATTGATAGAACACCTGTTTACCCACAGCCGGCCTTGGGGCATCTGTTTACCCACAGCTGGCCTCTCGATGGCCTTGAGGCCTGTGCTGCTACAGACCGATCAAGTCAGTATTCAGAGTGTCTGGGTTGCTCACAATATGTCCCTGTTCTTCCAGAAATCCCACAAATCCCGCTTTTTGTTTTTGAGCAACCCAGATACCGTTAAATGTGTTCTTAACCACATTTATAGCACAACTTATCAAACATCCAAAAATGCCTAGTATGATCAGAATTGTAACCAACATCGCTATTCCCTGTTTGACCAGATGCCACACCCACTGATGCCCAGATGACTGAGCCAGTCTGTCAATCTTGACTCTACCTTTATAGCATTCAAATTTTTGCGTGGCTCACTCAATTGTTGATGTATCGATTTTGAGTGGTCACTCAAATTCATACAACACATTCCTTCAAAAACCTTCGCACCCATGTCCTTGTGCCAAAAGTAAAAATCAATTGCTACACGATTTTGTAAAGTTGCGTGT